ACCGGGGGTTTAGTCGCGACATTAGTGAATGACTCGCGAACTCACATCGCTCGGAAATCTCGCCTGCGAACTCCTCTCCGGATGCTTTTTTCGCGGGATGTCGCCAGAGTATCGCGAATCACGTTGCAAATATAAACTTATCCCCGTTCTCTTCCCTTCGGATTAATTATACTTCACACTTGAGACCTCATTTTTCGTCAGAGCTTATTTTTTCTCCGGACCGGTTGTCCGACTTGTCTCGATTTGTCTCCGGCGTTTTTTTATAGTTTTTCTTGTTAAGATATACGCAGAGAAAAAAATTTTGGCATTTGTAATTAAAAATAATCGCATAAATGAAAGAATTATAGTCGGGGGAACCGTTTTTCTAGTGTTACTATAGCGTCAGTGATAATAATCTTATTATATCAATATACATATTGCTATTACTATGTTTTTTACATAAAAACTAAAAGAAGATGTAGGAGGCCATTCAACGATTACGTCACGCGAAATTTGAATATTTTTTACCATCTCCCTCATCTTTCATCACAAAATATTTGCCCCCTTTCATTACGTGACATGAATTACCTTTCTCCCAGTTAACACGTAGAATAAAAGACAACCGTTTATAATCATATTGTGGATAATAATTATCATAGATTGCACGTTACTATCTTCTTTTAAAATACAAATACTTTTTAGGCATAAAATTGATTACTTTATTTTATAATTTTGATTGGTAAAGTTATGTTTTTGAGAGAATAAATATTAAAAAATTAACATATTGATTATCAACATAAAACCACGTTAAAACTTCAAATTGTTAACCAAATTTAACCAAATATATCACGAACGCAAATAAAGTGGATAACCATACACATCCATATTTACAAGTTGTGGCATATAATGTTACGTTCAATGGTCTTTACTCTCCTCGCCCCTCTCCCTGCCATTACATATTGTCACGCAAGCTAATAGATCCCCCTCTCCCTTTCATGGTATGACGTAATTGTTGACCGGCTCCACAGTTGATTTGCTGAAAATGATTGTAAATTTAGTGGAATTATTCTCAGTGTACCAAATATGGGGCGGAAATTTGATTTTGACGGGCTAATAAGAATTGAGATCGTTTCGACAGTTTTGTAAAATCATTTAAACGACTTACGATCTCCGTAGCGAATTTTCCCCAAGTATCAGCGAGACCTCGCATGCAAATAAACGGACGAGCATTTGATCGCGCGACGGGAGGGAATTTCTTTATTTTCCCTCGATGTCTCATCGACGATCGGTCTGTATTTACTAGGATCTTCTTCGTTTTACTCTTCCTTCCCCCTCTTCACCAAAATTCGACTTGTGACGCGAGATGTACATATAGCGCGCGGCCGGCAACAGGATCGTAAAATGCAAATTGCCCGACGATGCGCCCGGCGTGATTGGCCCGCGTAATTCGCAATCCTCGTGAGAGCTGATGCACGGGGATGCTCGCTCAAGATCCGCTTTAGCCTCCGCGAATTCGAGAGGCTGCATCAATTTTTGATTCAACGCCGTACCTCCGTTCACTGACGTGGGAGGAGGAGACGTAGCGTTTCCTGAAACGCTGGGAAATCCCTCGACACGTGTCGAGTTATACTCGACGAATCGAGACACGGTTGTTAAACGGACGTTCAATCGAACGGCACGACGTTCTCGCGGAAAATAATTCGCGAAACACTCGCGGATTAATAATAGACTTGCGATTGATTTTCCCAGATTAATGATTTACTGCGTAATCTCGGTGAAATTAATTCATGCCAGCCATTTTATATATTTACAGATCTTTATTCACGCATCGCGTCAAATAACTCGTATTTCTTTCTCAAGCCAGCAAAGATCCCCCCGTTGAGTTCTGTTTTTACGTCCTGGGGCATACGATTACGCAAATCCCCGTGCTCCTCGACGAACGACCGTTCGATTAAAAATCAAACGACGACCCGAAGGAGGAAATCTCGACGTCGACCAGCCGCGATCAAGTCGGCGAACGTTTTCGCTGAATCGACGCGCGATCTCCCGTTCGCTCGCTCGTCGTTCGAAATGTAGAAACGGCTGCGACAGCGGAGGCACGATATCGCGACCCTTTGTCAAGTTTTTACAACCCGAACCTTCTCCGATCCCTTCGCTCGACGGTCGGACGAGCGAGTGCACGAGGGTAGGAAAATCGAGAAGGCGGGTTAGAAGCGTGTTTGCCTAGGTAGATAGACGTGGGTAGACGGAGCAAAACAAAAAAAAAAGGAGGGAAAGAAAGCAAAGGAAGAAAGCAGCCCATGGTAAGCGAAGCGTTCTCTATATAAAGAGCGAAACAAGTCGCGATCCACCCGGAAACTCCGTCCCTTTTTCGCCAGACGCGAAGGTACTTGAGCGAAATCGAAATAATCGGAAATCGACGGGAAGGCTTTGCCATTGTTTTCACCGAAGGGGGTAGGTTGAGAGGGGGACAATGGGGACAGGGAGTGAAGAAGAAGGGGGAGCCCGACGAGCGCGCGCGACGGAGAGCGATCGATTTCCTCTTTTATATATATATATATATATATCTCTCTCTTTTATTTTTTTCTTCCTTTTTCTCGTTTTTCCTATTTCTTTCTATTGTTTCGTTGTGTTTCCTCTTTTTCACACCGGTTTATCGTTTTCATTAAACTGTCTCGCGTAACTGATATCCGGTAAGATATCCGCGTGATAAAACAAATTAATTGCCCTTCGACACGCCGCGTTGGCTTTTATTTAATGCCGTCGCGCTCCCCCGTCGGCGATTGACGCGTACGCGCGCGTGTACACGCACACACACACACACACACACACACACGCCTGTACACATGCACGTGTGAAGCTAGCCTTTGCGGGTCGACGAGATTAAACGCGGGGAGTCGTTCGCACGCTAATTTAAGCCGCGCATTGTGCGCGGCCTGTCGTATCGGTTACAGCGCGGTAACGCGCGCGCCGCCTCTCGAATCGTTTTATCGTCGATATTTAGGCAGCGAGTCGGCCGCGCGATTTCGCGAGGCTCGTTACGTAAGTGACCCTGCGAACGAGCGCGAGTTGAGTAATCACCGGGTGGCTCAGTCGGGATCCGGAGCGTTCAAAATTCGTCGACTCGCAAAGGTTCTCTCCTGCGGCTCTCCAACTCGCGAGATAAGGTTAATAATTAGCGATCCTTCTCGCGACACTTCGTTCCTCGCGGGTTTTACGAGACGAAGGTCTCGTTTCTACGCGAGGCGGAATTTGAATCGTGAGTTTCTCTGAACGATGTGCAGACGAGGTTTCCCGCCGGAAGAAGTCACAGAGAATTCTCAATTTTTCCCTTTCAATATTTTCCATTTCTCCACGATACTTTTGTAGCTGAGAACCTCAAGTGAATATTCTATTCAAGCTCACCAAAATTGATCAAAGGAAATTACTTTGTTATCCATTTGGCCGTTCGAAGTCAATAATCCTGCTTTTTTCGGTCGCTTTGTATCTCGGAAGCTATCGATGCTTCGATATTTACGCGGAAAAAAAGGAACTTAAAATTGTGCACAGAGAAACTCGGTGAAATTATGGTCGCCGGTTGAGAGATCCATTTGTCTGCGCAGTCGTATCTTTATCCACTTCGAGTCCCGTTCAAAGTTTCTGCGTCTGTGAAAAGGAAAAAAACGACGATTACCTTACTTCCGAGGTTGGAAAACCGCAGAGGACAAGAATCTCTCTCTCTTTCTCTTCCGCCTGAGATAGAGATTTTTACGTATCGCTATGCCCATCAAGCTAAGGTTGACGTTCCTTGAATTCAGACGCGTTTCGAAATTAGGCGCACTGACACGCGAATTCGAGGGGAGAAATCGCGAAGAAGAAGACACTCTGGAAATAACACGCTCGATTGCCGATCGAACCGTTCCTCTGAATTATTAACGTAACACGCTCCCGACACGCCGCGTGCGCTCGATTGCAAATTCGCGTATCAAGTGCGAAACGACAACGGCGAGCGAAGCGTCTGAATTCAAGCGAGATCTCTCGCTTGTGTGCGGTTGCACGTTTAAGGAACTTATTGTCCGCGCATGAAGCGCGGATTCAATCGATGCAACGTAGTAACGCGCGCGCGAAAACAACGGAGAACGCGCGCGCGCGCGCAGTTATTTGTCGATACGCGAGCAATTTATTCGCGAAACGGCGCGAGAGCGCGAATTGAATGAACGACAAAAAAACACACACAGAGGCCAGTTCTCTCGAGGGCGATCGGAAGGAAATAACGTGCAACCGCATGCGATTTTTAATTATTTATTAAATATCGCTCGTAATTCGTCTGTACGATGCAGAAGTATTCGTCATTACCGCGCTTCGAGCCGATTTCCCGATAAACGAAATCAAGCCCGCGATACTGCGAATTTCGCGCCGAATATTGCGTACACGAACGCACACCCACGTGCATGTTTTGTGTGTACACGCAAATCCGCATCTGCATCGGACGACGCATATTTGATTACAGGATCCGCGCGCGGCCGTATCCCGTAAAATTGTCAAAGTTTACCCCGCCGGCCGGCGCGATTTTATCCGACGTCGGAAATTTCTCTGCCGCGTGATTCTCCGATCGCGACCGCGATTTATTTCCAATTGTCGCTTTCCGCCCCAGCCGATAATTATTGCCACGACAACGAGCGACAGGCGCGAGCGCGCTCTCCCGAAAGTTTTAATTGAAAACGCCCGTCGCGCATAATCGTTTGTAATCGAGAACCGTGCGAATTGTTTTCGATTTGAATCGCTAGAAATTACGTTCTCAATTCGACCGAACGACCGATTCGCAAGGGAGTTCTTCCGTTTCGCGTCTCGCTGCTAGCGAACGACCGCGAAATCGCCCTTCCTCCAAAGGCTGCGGCGGCAACGAGAGCGTAATCGCGCCCTTTGACACGGCCGTGTGCGGATTCCGCGATCGAATAGGCGATTGGTCGGCGGGGGCGAAACTCCCGCCGGTCGGCCGGAAAAGTTTCACTTCGGCTAATGCGTGCCTCTCAACTCCGCAGGTGAACAACGCAACAGCCAGGGTACAGACGAAAAAACCGCCAACGGTGCCGAACGGTAAGTCGAAACCTTCTTTACTTCTTTTTTCTCGCCTTTATTCCCCCCCTCCTCCCCCCTCCGTAATCAGGGTGTCTACTACCGGGAAAAAGCTGGAAAATCTGGGATTCTCAGGAAGTTTGTTTACGCCTGGAAAAATCGGGGAATTCTCAGGGGATTTTATTGAAAATCAGAGAATTCTTAACGGACATTTGTCTGCAAGCCATATTATTACGTTGTTCATAGACGAAAAATATGTGATATATTGTAATATATTATAAAAGTTGCATTTTGTACCGGTTACGCATTACATAATATTTTTGTTGGTAAACTTTGAAAATAACATTTGAAAACTTCATGCAATATGAAATATAAATTTTTTAGAGTACTTGTATAGTTTCTTTCGAAATTTTTCAGATTTAATCATTGAAACTCGAGTGATTCTTAATTTTATTTTATGATTCGCAAGCTTTACGAATTGAAAATATGAAGATCTTTGCACAATAAATAATGTGTATTCATTTGCAAGATACATTTAAAAGTACTTTCGTTTCACCTGAAATTTTTTGCGAAAAAGTGTCTGGAAAATTGGAGAATTCTCAGGGATTTTTGTTCGGGTAGAACAAAATTAAGTAGACATCCTAGTAACATTCTCCGCTCAGGGGAGGAAAAGCTCGTCCCGCCAGTCGCTTAGTACTTAAGCGTCCGCCTTGGGACGAAGTTCCATTAGAGTTTAAATATCGTACGCGGGATGTTTTGCCGGCATGCGCACGTTGCATCGCGCGGCATTCGTTCGTCTCGCTGAAGAACCGTAAGTTCCGGAAGAGCGGGAACGCGGTTTTATTCGCCCCCGTGACTTTCGCTTCGCAATGAAAATTGCGATCATAACTATCTCACCCCCTCGTTCGGGAGCTTTCCAATCGCGAGCGTTTCCTCTTGGCGCAACCGCGAAGCCGACAATGGGGGCGCTCTTATTCCGCTTTACTTCTCTCAAAATGAAAATTACGCTCATAACTCTCTGTCTCGGTCCTTTGATGACGCAACGTTTCCGATCGCGAGCGCTTCTTCGTGATTCCGCGGTTTTTACCGCTTAATCATCCCCGAGGCGAAACAACCGGAACATTTCGCGCGAAACAAGCGAAATAACAGCCGCGTTCGGAACATAAGATCACACTCGGACCGCGTATAGCGCGTGTTGCCGCGACGGAGTATGAATTATGCTCGCGGGGCTATTCGATGCGTGAAATTGAAGTTTCGCGGGCGAAAATTCGCGATAGAAAAATACGGCCGGCCGTCACGGGATCGCTGTCCATGAAATAATAAAACAAAAAATATGTAGCTCGCGTATCATCCCAATCGAACGCGATCTACGCGATATATATTGCTGATAATATGAGGGAATGCACGAGCGAATAGCGCGAAGAAACGAGGTTATCCCGAAATTAGACCGACAAATTTCGAGTACTCGTAAAGCCAGCAAAACAAGTAATTTTTATTGATAAATCCGTGTTCGAATAAGCCATTTTGGTACTAAGGGAAATATTTACAATAGTTGTTGGAAATGTTCGCCATTTACATCTAGCTTCCCCATAATATAAGATGCATATCGGCCAGTTGATCGAAAGAAAAAAATGTCCCTTTTAAAAACGAATTTCGGATAAACAATAAGAAACGCTGAAATACTGAGCTCGCAAATCAATAACAAACAATACGAATTCTGCCTGTTTGAAAACCTCCAACAATCTTCTATTCGATAAAGCAATTTTTAACCATATTTTTTATCAAGAGATAGCTATAAAAAAAACCGGGGGAAAATTGCTGATATCTCGGCATTGAAGTAATATAATAATAAAAATATAATATAATATAAATAAAAATATAAATAAATGACCAACACTTCGAATAACTGTTGCAAGTGATTTACTCCAGTGCCAAAACGGTTTGTTTACGGTTTGTTTACGGACATGGGTTTATTGACAGAAATTAAACTCACAATTACTTGGTTTCGGTGTCTTTTATAAGCATCTGAAGTTTGCCGGTCTAATTTCGGACACCATATGTACATTTGCCACATCCTGCGAGTTCGTTAATATAAGATAATAGAGAGCTCAAGCGTCGAGAGAGAGAAAGAGAGAGAGAGAGAGAGTTTGTCCTCCTCATATTGCGGGAGGTAAGACGAGAGCGCTTATGCGAGGAGCGGCGTTCTAAAAATTTCGCGATTTTCCCTTTAGCTCGCTTCCTCGTCCGCTCGCTCGCTCTCTAACTTTCTTTCTCGCGGTTTGTCACAGTGCGCCACCATAGCGCGAAATTTTCCTCTCCTCGTTGCGCGAGCGTAGAAAAATATTCCACGTGCTCGCCTGCGAATGTGCCGCATTTCCCTTCGCCTCGAGACGCTTAGGTTAGGCGCGCGGGAGTTTTTGAAATTCAAATTCGCGGAATATCGCGCAGGAAAATCGCGCTCCTGTCCGTCTGATTTGCGCGGAGAGTTCTTGCGTGAGCGCGTCGTTATTCTCTCGACGATCGATCGGTCGCTCGGTGGAAAATGCGATCCCGTCGTTTTCGCAGTCAATCACCGAGATTAGTCGCTCGTGAACAAAATTTCGGGAACCCCGTCGCGGCCGCGCGTGTCCCATTTTGCGTCGCCATTAACGGATCGCGCCGGATATTTTCACTCCTGTGCGCCGGGGATATCGGACGAATTTCGCGCGAGCATTCGCGCGAACACGTCCATTACGTGCACAATACGCAACGCCACGGCGTTTTAAACTAAATCTAACCTCGGCCCGCGCTCGTACGGCCCGATTTAAATTGCGGCTTAATCCGGATTACCCGACGCCGGAGACCAGCTGCGAAGAGAACACACTGCAAATACGCGGTATTACGTAACGGCCGCCGCTCAAATAGGCTCTTCACTGATTACACCGCGAAGTCCGCCGTCCTGGCGGATGTCTCCGGGTTTTACGGTTAATACTCTGGAGCTTCTCGAAGCCACGGAGGGCCCGTGTACACTGAGAGAAAAATCAACTTGGTATTTATGACTGTAATTGCACAATGAAGTAATTACGACCATTTAAACCTTGTTTTGCAATAAACTATGGTGTCGTTGATAGTAATCTATGTACATATTCGCTATTATTACTTTTTGTTAGAACAAGAAAAATTTCCCCACGCCGAAAACTACTATAAAAAACAAATTTCTGAGCCTTTCTCTCTCTTGTCTCTTTGGCTTTATAAATAAGTGAATCAATTTTTGGCGATTTTAGTAATTTTCTCACCCAGCACATCGATCGCGACAAATAATAGCTCGGCGAAAGTGAACGAGATGTGAAATATTTGATTCGATTAATTTTTGCTGGCGTAATTACATCAACGGCGCGAATAGGAGCTCTCTTATCATTAATTAATTAAATAATGTTTAACCGAATTAATCTCCACGTCTCTATTAAGTATATTAGAAGAGAAAATGTCATGAGTCAGAGGTTCGATTATAAATTACCGCGACGATATCGTGCGAGATGAAGAGAGAGAGAGAGAAAGAAGAATGCAGCACATTAATTATAATAACGAGTATGACGGTAAATCTGCAGTCGCGACGCAACGGACGACGCAAATCGACAACTTATCTCCGTCACGAGTCCGCGATATATACCGCGTGTCCCGGAGCGCAGAGAGAACGTCCTTTCTCCGAGAGGTTCAGCCGAGATTTACGCCGTCCTCCTCCGGGTCGCAGTGACAAGGCTCGCCGGGGTTATAAATAATCGGCACTTAAACAGTAATAACGCGTACGCGCTCGTTGCGCCAAGTGTTTCCTAACGCGAAAATAATTCTGGTCAGCATTCGAGTCCGCGAAGCAAGAATGGCGACACACCGAACGATGATGATGCGTCCCCGGTCGGCGCCTCTAATTATAACCGCATTCATAATTCCGCGTGAATCTGTCGCGAAAGGACACACACACGCATGTAACATGCACAGCACACACGCAATATGACCGTGCCCAGCTCCGATTTTGCGATTCTATTATTCATGCGTTTCCCCCTCAAATTTTATTCATACCGCCGTCGTCTATGAAATCCGCGCTGCCAATTACCTTTGACAGGCCACGGCCGCTTTAATGTCTCAATGAATACCGAAATCTTCCGCGCATAAGAGGCGAATTGACTCGTTTTGTTGAAACACTCTTGACCGAATTCTTATTCCGACGCTTGGTCGAGCGATTATTTGATAGCCACTTACGACGTCAACTACACCTTTTTATCGTTCTGATAAAAAGGTCGCGGTAGCAACTTGTGCATGTAAAATTGTCACACTGAGAAACCCATTTAGTTGACTCAAGCTAAATTACTGTTCGAATATGGGCAAATAATTTGGATTGCGAGAGTGAAAATCTGCTTCTTTGAATCGAACCTTTTTCATTTTCGTTTCGAAGAACCAAACTTTGGTTCTCACGACCGAAACATATGCTCGCCCGTATCTGAACAAGAATTTCATTCGAGTCCACCAAATGCGTTTCTCAATGTATATTCGCGCGTATAAAAAGACAAATCGTCTCGCATGTTAATGCGCTGAGAGAAAAATGTTGGCACTGCAATTGTGTATTGAAATGATTCTAGTCAGGTATAATCACGACTTTGTACACATATACTGCTATTATTTCTCCATTGGAGCAATAAGAAATATGATTGGCGTCGACGATAGTTTTACATCTCAGTGAGACCGACAATCATCTTTTTCTCCCTGCGAACTCGACCGAATCTCCCTCCCTCGGAACTCGCCGCATTCAATTTTCCGAATGGACGTTTCAATACATCCGCAAATTAGTCGCGAATTGCGCTTCCTTTGTCGCGAATGGCTCCAAGTGGCCTTTAATTCTCCGATCGCGCCACGTAATCTCGCAGTTAGCGGGGAGCGTTCACGCTAACGGCGCGACCGTTCCGTCGCATTAAATCAATTCCTAAGGGCCGTCGCACAGTCGCCATGCGTTCGTCCGGTTTAATTGCGAGCGGATCAACGGGACTCAA